TAACCTCCCTATGGTTTGACCCCGGTCTTGCCGGGTTATTTATTACTTCGACACTCCTGCACTTGGGAGAAGACATCAATCTTTTAGTCGTGTCAATAGCTCCATATTCATTTGTTTGAAAGTGCTAACCTGATCAGCCAAGAATCAGAAAAGGATAGCTGATCGAGGACAAGATGTTGTTATGTTCTTTTAAAAAAGTAGGACTTAAAAGTTTAATGAGAATACCTAATCTTTGTAGAAGGGGTGTTTTTCGGTTAACGATGATGGTTATAACCAAAAGGTGATTGGAAACACTAGATTCATTTGCTTGAAAATGCTTACTCAATCAGCCAAAATTATCAAAAAAAAGAAGCTAAACAATGGCAAAATGATGCATTGTCTGGGCTAAACCCTAGAAATTAAATTTTTTAATTTGGGATTTGACTACTTTCACTTTAGTCTCTATTCTGCTAATTTTTTTTAATTGCACCCGTAATTGCTTCCCAAACTCTTAATTTTATGCAATTTCACCCTTGTCTAACTCAATCATCAACCCCAAAGTTCAACAACATTTTCATCTTAGTCATTAGTTTCTAATTTGAGCATTTGGACCTTTAATTGACCATCAAAATTTTAATTTTCTTCAATTTAGCCCTTGATTTGGTCAATTTCAGCCCCTCCAATCTCAAGTCTTTTTTAGTTTGGTATTTGATTTTAGATTTCTTCAATACAGTTCGTAATTACCCATCAAACTTTAATATTTATGCAATTAAACCCTTGATTTGACCAAATTAACTCTTTAAAATTACAATTCGAGTCCTAGACTTTAACTTCTTTCAATTGTAGCGTAAATTGACTTCAAGACTTATTTTTCTTAGAATTAAGTCCTTATTAAAATTATTTATACCTTTTAAAATTCTCATTGAGTCCTTACCTATCCAAACTTGCATTTCTTTAACCTAAATAAATGTTTTTCACCAACGGGGCCTTTTGTCAATTAGAATTAGGTTTTTATTTTTGCTAATTTTATATGTTTTAATCATCCAGCTTTTCCACTTGTTACTTTGGTCTTTCATTGCCAACTTGCATAATCATAGGCTTTGTTCATGTGTATCCTCTTATATTTTGGATTTCTTTTCTTTATTTTTTAATCTTTTTAATCTTTATTTTTATAAGGTCAAGAGTGATTGGACAAAAAGGATGGGATTTTCAAGAATATTAAACCTTCTTTCTTGCTTGAGAATGATTCTCACATTACTGTACTTGATTAGTACTTAAAAATATATTTTTATCAAGGTTTTATATTATCATTTTATACTTGAAATATCAATAACTCCTTAAGTAAATCATGTTTTATAATAACAAGTCTGATACTATAAGATAGCTTTAATTTATGATAAATATTTATTTTAAATGTAGGCCAATCATATAAATGAAAGGATTGATTGATAAGTTTAAGTACTGAAATTGAAAGGACAAAGAGAGGGTTAAACTTAGAAAAGAGATGCTTGTTCAACCTAAACTAGAACACTGTTTGGTCATTGGGTCATATATAGAACTATAGATCTTAAATTTAGGTCTACTCTATATGGATGGAAAGCTAAGACATAGGCCTAAAACTTTCATAGGAGTCCAAGATTTAAAAAGGTTGTTTTTAAGTCCAAATTGTAGCAACAATAGATAAGTCCAAATCTATTTTGCAGCTTGGATACTGTTCAGTGTTCAGTCTATATCTCGAGTTTTAGAAGTCCAAATGACCTCAATTTTTTTTGTTAGAAAGTTGAGGCAATTTTCTAGAACTTTTATAATTCAAGTCTGTCTAAATTCTAATGTTAGCAATGATGTTTTGTTCAGACAAGAAGATAAGAATTATCACCAAGTCAAGATGTGGCCACCTACTCAATAATTAGTCAACAAATCAATAGTTTCTAATTTTAGCCTATAAAAGGAGGCATTTACAATGTATTAGGTCTCTTGGTTTTCAAATCAAGATCATATTCTTTCTCTCTATTTATTGTAGTGCTTAAGTTTTGTTTATATTAATCTCTTGTTTATACTTCTCATTTCCTTTTCTTTACTTAGTGAACTTTTATCTTATTTATGTTCTTATCTTGGTTATTTATGTTTCTCTTCTTTCATTATATTTAGTTAAGTTTATTATGTAAAGGTGAATAAGTTACACTAATGGTGTCAGAATAAGTTTAGTGTAAACTTAACATGTACCTTAATGTTTGATACTAACATGTTTTGTATTTGTTATCTTGTTCACTCTTAATACTTTATTTGTTAAATGGTTAATCTAGATTTGTGTTGTATAACACTTGGTACAACAAATACTTGGCACACTTTTATAGCCTATACTGTATGATATAACCAACACTTGAGGTATGAAAGGAGCTTGATTTGTTATTAACATGAGTTATAAATATGAATTCTGACAACATTTACAGGTATTAACATTATTCGAATAAGATAATTAATGTAATCATGTTAACAATTTATAATCCGATCAGAACCTCCTTTATATATAGTTTTCAGTTGAATAATAAGAGTTTATACTATACTTGTTTGAAATACCATTAGTAGATCCTCTAATCTTGACAATTGTTTTTATCATTGTTTAATCCTCATATTAATCTTACAATCTCAAAGTGTTCTTTAACTTCTTCTTCTTCTTCTTATTACTATTACTATTATTATTACTATTACTACTACTACAATTAGCATTGTAGTTGTTGTTATTATTTATAATTTATATAGTTAACCTTCTTTTGGTTCGACTCTAGTCTTGTTGGGTTATTTATTACTTTGACATTTCTACACTTGGATAAAGATATCAATTTTTTTTTCATGTAAGTACTTTTTAGTATCTCACCAATTATTGCCCACTTTGATACTTGGTTCTCTTTAAAAAACATGGGCCATCCACATTTTTTCTTAGGTACGGAGGTTATTCCCATTATAATAGGTCTTTTCTTGTCTCAACACAAATATATTTGAGACTTATTAATAAAGATCAACATGCATGGCATAAAAGATGTTACCATTCCATTATTCACAAGCACTACACTCAAGTTACTTGATGGCATATCCTTAGTTAATAGCACGAGATTCAAAAGTGTTATTAGTGCTTTGCAATACTTGTCCCTCACATGCATAGACATTTCTTTTGTTGCAAACAGGCTATCTCAGCTTATCCATAAGCCAACAACAACTTATTGGACAACTGCAAAACGGTTACTTATACTTAAAGCATACCATTTTTCATGGAATTCACATTCGGAGAAGCTCACCCTCCATACTTACCACATACTCCAATGTTGATTATGTAGGTAACTTTGACGATCAAAAATCTACTTCGAAATACATATGTTTACTTAGTTCTAATCATATTTCTTAGATTTCAAAAAAAAAAAAAAGAGTTGTTGCACAATCTTCAACTAAAGCTAAGTATAGAATGCTTGCAAATGCTGCCTCTGAGACACCATGGCTTCTAGCACTCTTTGTTGAACTTGGCCTCTCCAAAGCTTTTATGTGACAATTTAGGAGCAACACATTGGAACTTCAATCCAATCCAACATCGAAAGATGAAGCACATTTAGATTAACTTATATTTTGTTCATGATATTGTGCAAAAGTGTACACTCGATGTTCATCATGTCAGCATATAAAATCAACTTGCTGACCTCTTGATAAAATCCCTGTCATGTCAGAGCACAAAAGTACTTCAAAACAAGATTCAAGTCATTGATGGTACCTCCATCTTCAGGGGCGTATCAAGGATGATTCCTTAAATCAAGTTGAAGATTTGATGAGCAGCAAATCTATTAATAATCAAGCATGTAATGGCTAGGATATAACAAGGAAAGTTGACTCTGTTTTTAAGTCTGTAACTGTTAGAAAATATATCCTTAATTTTAGCCCTTTTTCCTAGAATAGATTTTACAAGTCTTTAACTGTCTGTATCTATATATATATCAAACGGGTCTGCAATATAATTGCTGCTCTCGAAATCTTAAAAATGAATGAAAAGCTGAAACATCGAGAGAATAACATAGGTAACATAAGTTGTGTTTCTTTCTAGGAACTTAAAACAAGTCAAGGCCTGCATGAACATGAAAAACTTGACCGAAAGTGCTAAATGTAATGTAAAGAATCCAATGATAGTAGAAAATCCTACCTCTATTATAAAATAATTACAAATCTAAAAATAAAAAAAAATCGAAATTAAAATTGAGTCTAACAAAAATCATATAATTAGCATCAATGGTCAGAACATGATTTTGAAAGATTTGATAGTCTATTCCACAATATAGTGGCTAGCTGCTCTAAGAAAATTTTTCATTACAATCACCTATAAAAATTTAAGTATAATTCAACATTCGGATCTTCTATTATTAAGTTTTAAGAAAAAACTTGACCGAAGGTGCTAAATGTAATGTAAAGAATCCAATGACAGTAGAAAATCCTACCTCTACTATATATATAAAATAATTAGAAATCTAAAAATAAACAAAAAATCCAAATTAAAATGGAATCTAAAAAAACATAGAAAAAATAAAAAAAAATCATATAAGAGTGCTCAAAACATAATTTTGAAAAAATTTGATTATTTCACAATATAGTGGTTGGCTGCTCTAAGAAATTTTTTTCTTAGAATCACCTATAAAATTATAAGTATAATTCAACTTTCGAATCTCCTGTTATTATGTTTAAGGAGCTTACTAGTTCTGGATGTTCTAATCCTTTTTGTGACTTAAACTTATCCAATTATAAAAATATTTGTTAGGCTAACCACATAGTCTAACAAAACCAATTCCCTATTTAATAATATTAAATTATCAGTTAAATACTCATAACTGTCCATGTCTAGAAGTCCTGCCGGCTACATCACAATTACAACATGCCAGTGATTCTTAACAGCATTATCAGTCCTCCCGGGAAAAATCTAGTAATCAAGACCCGTTTGTTACCATAAACTTTATGAGCAGCCATAAGCCTTTCTTCTTCCTCTTCATTAAAAGCTATTCTATTGATCTTCGGATTCACTCGATGAAACCATCTCAATCTACAGCTCTTACCTTCAATCCCGACAAAGAAGACAAGTAAAATAAACTGTACACAAATATAAGAAACGTGGCTAAACCAAAAATAAAACACTTAATGTGGATAAGCATGCAGCTTCTTTAATTACTTGATCTTCCTTTTAATTTTTCTGCTATAAGGTTCCAGTTTTGAGGTCCATGAAGAGCACCAGGTTCTTTAAGTTTAGAGTCTTCTGCCGGTCTCCAATACCCTCTATTACAAACCTTGTACTTGTCACCTTCCATTCTTTCTTTCCCACTGACTAAACTCTTATTAGTGTTTTCTATAAGTGCATCATTGTCTTCGCGTTTTCTCCCATCATCACCAACTTCACTATATTGCTCGTTCTCCAACCTACTGCTGCAGCATTTGCCCATTTAGGCGCTGTCAAAACACTGAGAGGAGCAAGTATTCTGTGGCAGTCTATAAATAGAGAGAGAGCCCATGTCATCAAAAGTTTCCAGTGGCGGTGCTGATGAGTTGCAAGGTGTAGAAGCACAGATGGTATAATGACGGGGAATGCCATCATTTTCTTGGTGACAACAAAATGACGTTGTGAAAGTGTGGCGAGGTCATTTTCAAGGGCCAAATGCAAGAAAAAACAGTAAAAGAAAGCAGTGGAGATTGGAAGCTAAGTGATGCAATCAAAACTAAGTGTCCATTAGAAGTTCCAGGTGGATCAATTACAAAATTATAAACAAAAAAACTCATAGATGCGTTCAATGGATTTATTTGAAATATTTAAGTATTGATGTATAATATTTCATTGAAAAACCCTATATATACAGACTAAAAGTTTTTCCTATTATAAATATTAATGTATAAACAATGGATTTATTTGAAATATTTAAGTATTGATGTATAATATTTCATTGAAATATTGCGTTCAATGGATAAACAAAAAAACTTTTAGTCTGTATAATAGGAAAAACTCAGAGTTATTTGCCTTATATATAGGGTTTTTTAGACAAACTTTGATTTATGTAATTATTAATGTCTGTATAAGGTTTTCTTATACCTTTTAGTTATTCATTAAACTACTTTAACTTATCGAATAATTCACCAAGTTTCATGGCGTCTTCTATACTTGTATAGTCTTAGGTGGGGGTTCAGTATCTCTAGTTTTGATGCCTCAATACAAGTTATTATTATGTCAAATTTAATCACAAGCATAAATTTAACTTTATTAAAAAGAGTTAATGTGACTATGAGTTTGTAGATCTTTTTATCAATAGGGTCTGCATCAGTCAATATCAAAATAATGCATTAAAATCACATTATTTCTCTTATCTTTTTTTTTTATATGTTATTTCATTATTGTTGTCATCTAAAACCTAGTTACGACAAAGCTTTTAAAAAAAAACATGCTAATTGTGATCAGGTTGTCTATAATTTTTTTTAAAAAAAGGAAGAAAGGTTAAAGAAATCACATAAAGACAAATCAAAAAAATAGAGCTTAGGTGTAAAATAAAGGTTTTTCCACGAAACTTGGATTCTACATCTCTAAAATAAAGGTTTTTCCACAAAACTTGGATTCTACATCTCAAATTCGAAATTTTTTTATTCTTGAGACTTACTCTTGTCATATCTTGACTTTTAGGTTATTTAAGTATGTTTTGTTGGGTTGTTTCTAATAATTATAAAAAAAATAAAAATCACAATAGGTAATTTCTAAAAATTAAATCGTTTTGCTATTCGTAATTTCATATTCATAGTTTTATATAGATAATTTTTTGTTTTTATTGTTTCTTAAGTCTTTATATTATTTTTTATTATGCTATTAAGTGGTTAAATGTTTTTGATTTATTGTGAATTAGTTTCTTAAAGAACTAAAATTTTGAAATGGAGTGTAAACACAAAGGAAGTGATATCTATTGAGTATAAACAGATAAAGGGGTGTGTGAAGATATATTTTTTCTTACTACTACCATGATTTTTATATCTTAACAATACAATTAAAATTTGATCATCACTGCCAAGGGATAACAATAATCTTAAATGGAGTTATTTGGCTATGAAACAATAATAAGATGGCTAAATTAAGAACCGAAATAGCTAGTTTTCTGATTATTACTTAAAAGTGTATTTTTATCAAGGTTTTATATTAGTATTTTGCACTTGAAGTATCAATAACTTGTTAACTAAAGCATGTTTTATAATAACAAGTTTGATACTATAAGATACCTTTAATTTATAGTAAATATTCATCTTAAATATAGGCCTATCACATAAATCAAAGAATTGAGTAATGAGTTCAACTACTGAAATTGAGAAGATAAAGAGAGGGTGAAGCTTAGAAAAGAGATGTTGGTTCAATCCAAACTGGAACACTATTCAGTCATTGAGTCATATATGGAGCTGTAGAACTTGGATTTGGGTATGCTCTATATAGATAGAAAGATAAGGCATAGGCCTAAAACATTCATGAAAAGGCAAGACTTAATTCTGTTGTTTAGAAGTCCAAATCTTAGCAACAACGAAGAAATCCAAATCTATCCTACAACCTAGACACTGTTCAGTGTTCAGCCCATATCTTGAGTTTTAGAAGTCCAAATGAACTCAATTTTTTTTATTGGAAAGCTGATACAATTAACTAGAACTTTGATGATTCAAGTCTGTTCGAATTCTAACATTAGCAATGATGTTTCTAGCAGACAAGAAGGTAAGGATTGTCACCAACTGAAGAGTTGGTCACCTACTCAATAATTAGTCATTAAATCAATAGTTTTCAAATTTGGCTTATAAAAGGAGGTATTTTTCATGCATTTAGGCATCTTAGTTTCCAGATCAAGATCATGCTCTTATTTTCTCTCTTTATATTTTTTTTATAATGCTTAAGTAATGCTTTTACTAATATTTTGTTTATGCCTTTCATTTCCTTTCCTTTGCTTAGTTAGCTTTTATCTTATTTATGTTCTTATCTTGTTTATTTATGTTTCTCTTCTTTCATTATGTTTAGTTAAGTTTATTATGTCAAGGCTAAAAAGTTGCACTAATGTGTAAGAATAAGTATAATATTAACATAACCAAAAGATTGATGTCTTCTCCCAAGTGCAGAAGTGTCGAAGTGATAAATAACTCGGCAAGACCGGGATCGAACCACAGGAAGGTTAATTATATAAATTATAAATGACAATAATACAACAATAATAACAATAATAACAACAACAACAATAACAACAATAATAACAATAATAGTAGTAGTAGTAGTAAAGAAAAAAAAGGAGAAGGAGAAGAAGAAGATGAGAACTTTGAGATGGAATATTAGTGTAAGGATTAAACAATGATAATAACAAATGTCAAGGTTAGAGGTTTCACT